CTCCACCTTCGGTGGAGCACTAGTGATCAAGAACCAAGACCACGTGCGGCAGGGCAATGAAAGGGCCAGGCGAGCCAAGTCGGGAGGGCTGCAGGCGTGAGAGAAGGGGTCAAACCGAACACGCGGAAGAAAACACCGGTGCATTGGTTCCTGAATCACCGAAAGTCTTTCTTCATCTTTCTTCACAAAGCCTCCCCCGAACCGGGAGTGATGCCAGTTCGGCATCTGCCCACCAGCCCTTTCAAGCGCGCAAGCAAACAGAACTACAGGCTGTCACACCGAGTTCTCTGTGTCATCTCCGGCGCTACCCATCAAAGAACCGTCAAGAGCCAGAAATGGAATGCCACCTTCACCAACATGTTATAAAGTAAACACCCATCCATGTGCTAAGAAAATACAACAACTCCAAGCCTAATTATGCCTATGCTGCAATTCTGGGTCTCCAACTGCGACGGTCGGGCAGTCGCAAAGAAGCCATCATTGGTCTATGCAGTCTGTGCACTAAAAATATTCAACAAACAGAACCAGCCTCCCGCTAGTCCACACGACTACTGTCGCGGCGGCACACGCAAATTGGTGCCAAACACACAAGTTCAAATGAGGTCAACGGAGTCACAGGAGTCACGTGGTTTTCAAGCACTGTCGCAGGTGGTTCACGGACCAGGTCGAGGTCCTGATGTCAGGTCAGTCGTTAGAACCACAAACACCACCTCAGGACCTCGAGGTCCTGGAAAGATTCAAAGGCGTATTTAATGTCTGTGATTATCTGGGAATGTGTTTAGAGTTTTTTGGAGCTATTGAGGAGACATGTTTTCCACGATGTTGGAACATTGCGGGAGTCCTCTATAGTATCACAAGGCGCCGAATTGGGTGGGTCTTGAGGGTGGTACCGGTGACGAATCCAAATGGTTGGGATACTGTAGGGCTCCTTCTTGGTGGTCCTGGTGGATGGTCATGTGCCAGGATGTTTGACACCTTCAAGCTGTGGTTTTGATTTTTGCGGTGAAAGCATCTCTCGAATTGACAAAACATGTTTTCGACCCTGTGCGGGGGATTTGTGTGTGGAGAACTACAGAGCGTGTCAAATCCTTGATTCCAGGCAGGGACGTTGTACAATTTATACGGTATACTTCTCACACCAAGGCGTTATAGCCATCCCAAAGAAAAGATCGGAACTTCGAGCCCGAAGTTCTTGGGCGTTCGTTTTGATCTTCTCTCCAAGCGTCTGATTCTCTTCCAGCAAAGCCAGCACTTGGAGATAGGAGTCCGTGCACTCAGCTTCTTGTGCCACCTCCAAAACACTGCGACCCTTTGAGGTCTTCTGCTTTTGGTTGGCCCCGGCGCGAAGAAGTAGGGAGACCATCTTGGCATTGCCACTCTTCGCTGCCAGGTGCAGGGGATAGAACTCTTCGGGGCCTTCCACGAAGTAGGACTGAAGGACTGTCTTCTCCTTCTTCTGCCGCGCGTCCACATGAGGGCAGTTGTGCTTCGTAAGGAACCTGCGTAGCTCTTCTCGCCTCGGAGCTCCACCCGACGCCGAGCCGACCGGCCCGGCCGACTGCACCGATGACGCCCCGACACGGCGCGCAGAATCACCGTGATGATGTTTAGAAGCTTTTGAGGGATGTGACGTCTCATCAAACATCGAGGTGACCACATGTGAAATCACCCTCCAAAGGGGGACGAGGAGGCTGCTTTTGGTCTGCTAGCCCTAGGGTGGTCCCGAATCCTAAAAACCCGTAGGGCCTTCAAGACCAGACATTCGACACTTCTACACCGTTTCGATCCGTTGGTGTCGAAACGAGTGGCTCCACCCTCCGCTTGATACGGCGCTGCAAACAGCCTTTGGTCACCACTGGCTGAGCCCACTCCTCCGGCAGATCGATGCTCGAAGCACCTGGGTGGGTGGTCACGGTAGTCGAAAATGGTGGAAAACCTATGGAAAAAAACGGTGAAAAAAACATGTCTAATTCAGGAGGCCAGATTTTTGAGAGGAGGCAGAGGACATGGAGTGACAAAAGAGTGGTTTTAGGAAGATCCTGAGAAGCTCGCATGGATTCGTTCTATATGATTTCAGGTTCCAAATCCATCTTTGAGGCGTTCATACATCGTCGCATAGCAGCGAAGGAACTTCTCCAATGGAGCTCAGGCCCATTGGCCGACACACGGACAAGAGGGACTCACCAGAATGAAGCACGACATAATCACACCTAGACCTACACTTACAGTACACCCATAGTTCATCATGGTTCAGCTGGACCTAACGAAAGAAGAGCTCCCTCCCTCCGAGCCAAACAGTGGGCCCCGCAGGGGCTGGCCACTTCCTCTTCACATCAAGTGGCGGATCCTGCGGCTTCTCTGTGCTGTGCCATCCTTGGATGCGTTCGGACTGCATGGTCCGAGCAGGGGATGATCACATCGATCCGCAAGCTTCGCCGCCACCGTGGTCAGCTCGAAGTCAGGACACGCCCCATCGCCGAGCTCCAGGAGGAAGGGCTGAAGAGCCTGAACATCCTCCAATGGATGTGACACCGCCATGGCCCGTGCATGCGATCCACTCGGGCCAAAAGCGGAAGGTTTGGAATGCAAGGAGGCACTTGGACAGTGTGCGAATGCATGTGAAACAAAGGGATCAAAACAAAGAGAGCTCCATCTCTGTTGTATCATCTGAGTTTAATCATAGTTCATCCAATGGGCTCTCAGCCAACGCAGCAGCTAAGACATTTCTAGAAATCTGGGAATTCAATCCAGCTTCATTCAGCTTCATCCGCAGAACTTTCCCCATTCATCCTTCCATTTCCCATATCCAATCCATTCCATCTCCATCCCCATCTCGATCATCTCCCACTTCTTCACTCTAAGCGGCACTTCTTCTCCCAGCTGCTCCGCCTGCTCTCTCCCCGCCGCCGTCAGCCGCCGATCAACGCCAAAGAGGTGGCCCAGCCAGCGGAGGCCTCACAGCTTCCAGCGGCGACCGGCGGAATGGGGACGGGCGGCGACCAACGCCATGTCCCACGGAGCGCTTTGGTCGCTTGGAAGAGCAGGGAAGGACTTGTGGGACAAACTTGGGAATTCTTCACTTAAGGGTGTTGCTGCTGCTGCTGCTGCTGCTGTTGTTGCTCTGATGGTTTCGGCTGTAAGTATACTCTGGGTGGGTTGATGATGTCTGGTGGGGTGTGAGTCAACTGCTTGGATGCTAAGTAGCTCCCAATCTTTGGCTGCCTCCCTCAAGCTGAAACGGTCAAACGATCAACGGGTGTCTTGCTCCGAGTCAGTTAGGCCTCGAAAACGATCCTCCCCTTTTTCGCATCTTTTGTGTGAACCACCTCCTCTCAGCCACAAGGGATCAAAACAAGACCCTTCTTCCAGGGCATCATGTCTGATCAAATACGACCGCCAAGGGAACGGGCACACCAATGATTGGCGCATGACGTGAAAAGGGCTGGTGCTTCTTGAAACCCCAAGAATGCGGATGTTTGTGATAAACTCATTTCTACTTGGACATCACTTTGAATGCGATTGCTGTCTTGAACAGTGAGACGACACACCACTGACCAAAGGGAAGCACAATTGAATGGAGGTGTGAAAATTTACTGAGCCAAACCCTCGTCATGCATAAGTACCACTTGAGGTATGATCTATTTGAACAAGTGTTCCCCATCATGCATGACATTCGAGTGTTTAATCTTCCCCAAGAACAGCCCGCAGCAAGAGTAAAGTGGCAGCCGAGTGGCTTGTCGCGGAAGAGTAGTTGTGCTCACTATGACCATGGCGGATCAAAGCAACACGCTTGCTCATTGAGAAAAGCTACCAGTTCCCACAGCCAATGAGGGTCTTATGATACACCTGATTCTCAACATGCCCCGCAAATTGATCTGTTTGGGCGTCAGCTCTGAGACCGTCAGCTCTTTCATTCAGAATCCTCTGCTGCACCGGTGGTTTCAACCGGAAATTTGTCCCGGTTGAGGCGAAAAACAACATCACACGACATCGGAGGGTCAGCAAGTTTCGCGAGAACAAGCGAAAGACATCCGGCAAAGCAAGTGAATCTCACCAAAAGAAAAAGGCAGCAAGAACCCTCAATTCGGAAAGTCGCAGTGTCGGATCGCTTATATAGTTACTTAGCTTATTAAAGTTTAAGGGTTAAATATGTATATATATATACTATATACTATAATTGTATATATATATATATATTTCACACAAAAGGGGAGAGCTCACGGAGGTGTTGAAAGCTCAATAAATGATTGACTTCGAAGCTTTGACGTCTCTCTGGTTTCATGTCTCTCTTCTTCAGCCAAAAGGTCCACTCCGCTGCGCAGGCTGCGGTCCCAGGTCGGCACTGGACGGGACCTACGTTGGCCCCTTCAGGGAGCCAAGCATGAACCCAAATTGGACTGGTGCGACCCGGAAATGGATCCAATGGAATCTCTCTTGGGGGCTCTTTCCCTTATTCCCTACTTTCGTCGCACCAGTTTTTGAGAACTGTGGTCTGCCTCAAGAACGGGAATCTGCTCAACCCCTTGGCTCCCATGTACTCCAGCACGGGTAGGATTTTATTTGGACAAGAGAACTGCTCCGTGTACTCCAGTCGCGAAACAATGAAGGTCATCCGCCCTTGTGGTATTCGCTTTAGGTCGTTTCGGTGGAGCTTAAAACCAAGCCATCAACAGCACATCGGCACCTCCTTCGCGGGCTAAATTCTCCACTTGGACCATCTTCAAGGCTGTCTTCTTTTAATCGGCAGGAACAAACAAGGACTGAGAGTTGTGACGTCGTGCAATCAATCGGAAGTGCGTTGTGGGTGGAAAATCCCCTCACACGTCACGTCGTTGATCTTTTGGATCACACCAAATCACCCTGCGAAGTTTGCTGGATCTGCCATCAAAACTCATCAAGCCCCTCAAATCCCTCCAAACCCTTGCATTGTGTGTTTAATCCTTTCCTATTTCCCTCCCGGCTTCTTCGCCACTGATCCGCACATACCCGAGCGCCCAAACCACCTCCCTCTGCAACTCAGCCTGCGCGCGCCTCAGGGTGCAAGGCACTCGGCGATCAAAAAGAAATGTAAGTTCTCCCGGCACCTTTCTTTTTGATGTCGGTTCTGTTGCGTTGGTTCCTTCAATGTGTTTGCCAAACCCCGGCGATTTAACCAAATCTGCCAAAAGAACTGATCAAATTGGATTACCTGGTATGTCACAATGAAGTCCGAACAAAAACTTCGGTTTCTTCACGATGTCATGAACCTCCCACGCACCTGCGCCCATATCTTCCCAGCACCAGGCGCCCCGTCTCACGGAGAGCTTCGCTGCTGGTGAGTTTCAATTTGAGATCTTGGACCTCCAACACAAAATGCAACATAAAGCGAGACAAGAAAATAGGATGGGAGTGGGTTCCAGTACCAAACCCATCCAGATTCTTGTGGTGGTGATCTACGTCAATTACTCTGCTTTGGCATGCGGTTACTGGTGCGATCCTACTCTCAACAAAGTCTTTTGGTGTGTTCAAACAGCTGAATGCGCACACGTTGCCAAACCATTGGCGCGGCATTCTTTGGGCAATTAAATTTGCGTCTATATTTGGTTCACACAGCGGGGGTCAATGCACCAAACCAGCGCCACTTGCCTCTTTCTGCTGCTGCGACTCCACCCTGCAGGCGCGTGTGTGGGAATTGGGGGGTCGAGCTGACAATGAGCATACTGCAGCGAAAGCCATTCCCCGCCCGTGTTTGCTTCTGCTGCTACAGTACGAACTCAAAAGGCAAACTATATATCATGAACTACCTGTGCGTTGGGGATTTGAAGACAGAACCTGCAATCTTTGGAGCTTTGAGGACACGCAATCCAACGAACTGTTTCGGAGTCCTGGCCCGGTGCGTGGTAATCGCTGCTTCATGGAGGCTTTGGAAGGCGAAGAAACCAACAGCCCTAAAGCGCCATCTGCAGATGCGCCTTGCCAGGCGGGCCCGCAGCTCACTAGCATCACCTCGGAGTTGCCAAGGTGAAGTCTGCGCCATGACCATCTCTATGGGGCCTGTCAGACCTTGACTTTGCTCCAAGAAGGCAACTGGATGGACCTGGACATTGCCATGTTGCAAGGGCTCGACACAGCTGGCCCACTCTATCAGGCTGCCGCCAAATCTTCTGCTTTGACATCTGTGCAAACGGCCGCATATGTTAAGGGCTGAGCTGCTTGCCGCACAGCTTGCGGGCATCTTCACGACCATATGAGGATCCGTCTTCTTCGACCAAAGCGGATGCCGTGCAAAGCAAACGCGAAGTCATCGCGGGTGTCGCAGTCATCACCGTTCCGAGGCGCCTGGGCTCTGATCCTTTGGATCTATATAATGGGAGCTTTTTCGAACACAAACAGGCAGTGTCCTTTCAGAGTGATGCTTTTCGGTGACGGCGCCAAGAACGGATGCCTGGCTTTGTCTGCCCCCTTTCGAAGAAGAGAACCGACTTTGGGAAAAGGTGACTGGAAGAAACACACTGCGTTTGGTTGATCTTTCCTTCTCTCCTTCTCTTGTTTAAAACCTCTACGTCAACTGTTTCCCGCATCGGACCATCAACAACGATCAAAAGTTCCAAGGATGGATTCACCAAAACGATCCGGAAACCCTCAGTGGCCGAAATGGACCCTTCGTTTTTGAGACGTTGATTGTGAGATGGAGGTGAAACCCCGTTGTACGTAACACTTTGCCAATCTCCTCCACAAAACTAGCTTGACAGGGTTACAAGTTACGAGTTATGACCTAGTTGGCAAGATCTCCCACATCCAGATTTCAAGAATATGATCATTTTCCAACCATAACCGTGACTTCAAAGTGGTGGGAATTTCCTTATTAAAAAGGATCCTTCCAAAACAGTTTATCTTTAGACGTCTACTGGGTCCAGGCTCGGCTGCTTTCAATTTACAAGTTCTTGCTCATGGATCGTCCCGTCTTTCGGCCAAGGCACGTTCCAAGCAAACTCGCTGTTCCCACAAGCTGCTGTTGAGCCGTTCCCGGCGTTTCAACTCCTAGCGTTTGGCGATTTCGACGCAGAGCGCAGCCCGTCCGGTCACCCTGGGTGGAGAGGAGGCTTCAACCCAACGAACGACGAAATCGTCACCCAATGTCACCGACCTCAGTGTTTTGCTTCGAATGAGGCTAAAAGGATCCGTTTTGAGGTACGGGAAATATCGGGAAATGGTCCTAGACCCCTAGAATGCTACTCTTCCGCTGTTCACATCCATGTCGCCTGGGTTTTTTCATTTCGGGCGCGCTGAGGGATGGTCAAAATCCGTTGATCCACGATCAAGAGGACATGGGTTTCGTTGGAGCTCTTGAGCCTCGAGCAGTGTGGTTTTCAGGTCATATCCATCTTCGTAACCAAACACTGGTTTTCGCTTCAAGACTGGATTGCGCTTGGAGTGATTCACGAGTCAGCTATCGCCTGTGAAAACCTGGGATCTACGCCACTTCCCATCAACCTCTTAAGCTTTAGCCCGCCTCTGCCTGCGCCTTGCACAGCTGCGAGGTCCGCTGGAGTTCTGAACGCTCTCTCCTCAAAAGGGCTCACGGAAACCTTCTTCATCCAAGTCCTGTGGATGTGCCCCCTCTGTCGGGGGCGGTTCTATCCAAAATCAAAACGTTAAATTCAAGGAAGTGCCCCAAAAGGATAGCCGTCATTGGATAGGCAAAGCTAGCTCAGAATGGATAGGCAGAGATGGATGTGTCTTACACAATGAGGGAACACTTAGCCGGTGAATCCGCAAAGTATGTCCTTTCTGAACGATCCAAGGGTTGATCTCTGCTTCAACAACTTCAGCTGAATCTTGAGACATTTGCCTCCAGTCATTTCCACACCAAGTGACCATTCACACATACATACTAGTTTCCTTTAACCTCCCAAGGCAGATTCGCTTCTTAACATGCCAGGTACAGTATGTCAGGACCAGGTTGTCTTTTCACAGTTGGCTACAAAACGACTAAAAAATGCATGTCTCAGGTATATATGTACAGGTGTTCTCCAGAGTAACTAACCACTGTTTTTGTAATTATTGGTCCCAAAATGTAGCATGTACAGCATCGGTCTTCTAAAGAGGACTGAAAAAGGCACCTCCCATTTGAGCAAAACCAAGATCCCAGTTTGACGAATCTCGCTGACTTCTTGGGCACCGTGCAAGAGCTGCTCATGCAAAAGGTGCATCTCTTTCTCCTGTGCACCACCAGAACAAAGCAGCAAGACGACGACGATGACGATTACTATCTTACTACTACTAAAATTGTTACTATTACTAATACTACTACTATTCCTAAAACTAAGACTATGACTATGACTATTACTACAACTACTACAACTACTACAACTACAACCAGAACTACAACTACAACTAGTACAACTAGTAGTAGTAGTACTACTACTACTACTACTACATCCGCAACCAACAAGCAGGACAGCAACTGCAGCAACAGCAACATTGGCAACTTGACATCTTACACAGTGTAAAACTTACACAAGTGCCACATTCAATACTCCCCCTGAGATAGCTCTGCACTTGCTTAGCAACATGCCCAAAGTCCAACGCAAAAAAAGATGTCGTTTTGGAGATACAACTCGGCAACAATAACAAGACGGGATGGTTACAGAAAACACCTTAAGACCTTGAGGAAAGCTCGTCAGCAAGAGGCAAGTTGCGCAGGTGTTCAATGCCAATCTGGCTAAATGTGGTTTTGAAGAGTGAATCCAGATAGGATTAGAAAGAATTAGAAAATTCCCTACTATATAACATAATGCCTTGAATTGAGGTTGTTTTGTACGGCCACTCTTGGGAGTGCACCCATTCAGCGGGTTTCTCCTGCAGCGCCACGTTGTACATGGCAGCGCCAGCTGTCTCCTGCAAAGGCAGGCAGTCCAAAAAAGACGGCCAAAGTCACTGGTGTCAAGGACGCCTGCCATGGAGCCAAAAGATTCTTAGGGCGCAGCGAAAACTTTGAAAAATGGCTCTGAACGGTTTCTGGCTTCCAACCCTTCGTTCAATCTGGAAGATCCAACCAAAAAGGTGAATCACATGTGAGACGCGTCACCAGAGCTGTTACAGGGTCACAAGCTCTTCGGTCGGCACATCCAACTAACCCCTTCCGAATTCGAGATGGGTTCCATTAGGGGGTGTGATTTCTTGACATGTCCAATTGCCAGCTATGCTACCACTGTCTCAACATGTCTCAATCAAGCGTGAAACTACGAAGGCCATTCTCTGAACCACGGGGCAGGACATCGTAAAGGGCTTCCTTCGGCCGCAAAGGGCTTGTTGAGACCGTTCCGGACTGCTCAGGATGCAAATCACCAACCCCTCAAAGTGGGATGTGCCACGACCCTGTTCTTCCTTATAAATGCTCCAGCTCTAGCCCAAACGAGTTGCCAGAGCCGCTAGAGCCACTGGATATCGCTAGATCCTCCGTTCCCTATGGCTTTGCCCGTATGACAAAGCGAATCCTTCTGGCATAACCATCCAAGGCCCAGCCGTATCATCTCCGTATCATGCAGATTCACACGGCGTCCCGGTTCGTCGAAAGATCCGTTCCCAGGTCCACGGACCGCTCCTTGGATGCAAGGCTGGCCATGGCCATCTTGGCTTTCTCGGAGATCTGGGAGATCCTTTTGGTCGAAGGAAAAGAAGATGAAACTCTTTGGGTCTTTGAGGCTCTTTGGGATTCAATATGATTCAATGATCATTCGAGCAGTCGTCTTTTGGGAGAGCCAGACAGACCTGTCTGGTCTGTCTGGTCTCTGTGGTCGCGTTGTTGGCTGTTTATACATACGTCTTTGCGATGGGTCGATCGTCATTGAACTCATGATCCCATCATTCAGCTCAATGGCCAGCTCTGAGAGAACGGTTGGAAAGGCCTATCAATTTGAGGATTTGGCAAGTCCATGATCTGTCCCCATGATGATGTGGCCACCGATCATTGCTTCTCGTCCCGCGGGCTGGTCCGGCGGGCTTGTCCGGCGGGCGAGGTGGTCTGTCCAGAATCCACGTCTGATACAAACGTCTGGATGTTTGGAGTGTCATGTGTTGGAATAAACAGTTGAAGCCTTTGACTTGAACTTGAGCAAACCAGTACCCCTCTGCCATCTCGGATCTCGTGGCCCAAGAAAAAGGTCGCCCTGCTGGGGGAGCGGCTGGGCATCTCCACACTGCACCAGGGTAGAATGGGTAGAATAGCATGTGGCTTCCACCAAAGGCAAACTTGCAGTAACGAGTGCTTTAAGGGAAATGGTGTCTTCTGTCGCCTGGAGACTCCGCCAATTGGATTCACTCCGCCAAGAAGTCTCACCATGATCCATCCCTGTCGTCCGTCCATGTCCTTCGGACCTACAAATCGGGGCCAAACTCGACACAGAGACACAATGTTTTTGTTCGCCGATCCTGGGCGGTTTCCATCTTCCCATCGCTTCTTGGAAGCGAAGGAGGACTGCGAAGTTTCCGACCACCTAACCCCGGTGGGCTTGGGTTTCCATTGCCTTCTGTCATACTTCAGATTCTGCAGAACTGATTTTGCCCCAAAGTGAGAATCAAGACACTGATGTATCATCGTGCCTGCAAGGTTGAATCTTCTCAAAGGAACCCCACCGGAGCCTTGATCACTCGGATGTTTGTTCCATCACGAAGCCTCACAAATCCTGCTCTGCCGACCAGACATCTGTGTGGCACCCGTGACTTCCGCGGCAGATCGACTGAGGTGATCGACTGAGGAAACCTCCGGAAAAACGGTGGAAGCCGAGAGGAGTCCGCGCTGGCTGGTCCTCGAAATCGGATCTTGGGAGTTCATTGGGGTCCATCTGGCGAGCATCCACTGGCTGGTCTTTGACGAATCGGACCGGTCTCTCACAGATGCTTCGAATGTTTCTTATCTAGATTGGAAGAAAGCCCAACTGAGGCAAAGGGAATGCCAACTTCCAAAAAACCGTCAGATCTGGATTGCTGATGCCTCAAGTAGAAACTGGGGAGTGTGATCCCGAGTTCTCCCTGATAAACTCACCAGGAACTCCTCAAAAACATCGTGGAAAACAGCCTGCAAAACTCGCACGTCTTGGACTTCGGTGCGATGTCAGAAACAAAAGAATCACAGATTGATTTATTTAGTGGTTTTGTAATGTTTTGTATATCTTTGGTTCGTTCCAGAATACCATCCCGCCAATTGCCCTGTCGTTGGGCTCGTGAGCCTCTCTTATTCATTTACTTCTACGTCGATGGCACCTGCGATACCTGCGCCACGGAAAGCACATTCACCTGGACGTCCTGCTTTCGGACGAGCTGAGAATAATTCCGGAGACAGGGCAGTGCCGAAGGAGGACAGATGCGCTCACCACTGTACCCACCGAAGGAGCATACAAAAGCCTTTGGGTACAATCATGACCGGTACGGCAATGAGTTTCTCATGGAAAAATGCAAGTGTTCATGGATGAGTGATTCTTTCAGACCCCTTCTTGATCATGGGCCTCGCATGGGCGTGGGTCAAAAGTGGAACATGGGGCTTTTGCCCTAGAGACCTCAACCACTAACTACCTTGTGAGAAATCAGTCAGGAAGCAACCGTAGTCTTGACCCTTTTCCCGTTCCTCCTGACCACAGGGGAGATCAACATGGGCCCTTTAAAGACTTGGACGTCCCCTACGAAGTCGGAGACGTCACCTTTTGCACCTTCATGTAGGAAACCACTTCAAAAATACCTACCTTTAAAGCCTGCTTGCTAAATAGTTGAAGGTTCCAGAAATCGGCGAAGACGGGCTTCCTCCCCCAGCACTGCACCGTCAATCATTTCTTCCGGCTCATGCCCATGAAGGTGAACCGGGACGCCTACGCGGAGCGCCCAGGGTCGACGATTTGGAACAACACGAGCGCGGGCGCGTCCAACAAACCAAATGGCTTCTGAGAATCTAGCCCTTCTTAACAGGACATATATACTCATGTCTGTCTTCACAAAAATGTGAAATTCAAAAACAAAAAATGAACAATGTGCATTCGGGCATTCTTTGTACGATGTGTCACATCGAGTTCAGCGTGTGACTTCACCAGGCCGCGGTGAACGCCAGGGAATGGGCCGGTGAAAGGGCCAGACTGCGCTTGGCGCAGCGAGCTGCTGTATGGCTTCTTCTGGACAAATGCACAGGTGAACTCGGGGTGAACCATATAAGCTTCGATTCCCCCACACCAAGCCCGACTCCGGATATATATGCAGCCCATTGCAGCCCTCAGATGCCCGAAGTGGCGAAAACAACAGGACGCTTAGAAACCCATTAAACCGAACAGAAAGCACTGAACTAGCTGATCCAATTATCTAGCCCCGTCTCGACCGAAAATGAAATCAGAGTGCCGTTTCTAACCCAATTGACACACCATTCGGGTGATCTTATCGGTCGCAGCAAAACGCCCCACAGGCTGCAAGAGGCCGCACGCAGCGGCACAACCCCGTTGTGGCCTTCTTGGTCGCCGCTGCTGCAGCCGCCTGGCCGGTTTTGAGAGTGAGTCGAGAATGGGTGCCCTTAAGCCACAAAAAGGTAGTGAAGAAATGGAGTTTTGCATAGTTTTGCCAACAGTTCAAAAGGTCTGGCACGCAAGAAAGAACGTGTTGTCCAAACAACGATGGCAGCCATGAGCGTGTAAGTCGACCGACTCTATTGGTGCGTTCTCTAAAACTTGGGATTCTCACAGTCTCTCGTTTTCCTTCCAGTAGATTCCGAAGCCCGGCACCCCAGGAGCTCCAAATCCCATCGAACAGCTGGGAACAGCTGTTCTCCTCCAACCGATGGGGTTCGGGAGCCAGATCGGTACTTCTCTTGAGACCACGAGAAGGACCGGGTTCAATGGAAGGAGTGATAGTGCAGTGACCAATCTTTCATCTAAAAATTAGGGGAACCGCAAAGCCAATGGGTCCTCAACTTCTGTAGAAAGCGGACGTGTCTAAGTCTGACCATTCATCCCCGGACTCGGGAATGTTTACAAATGGACTTTGCAAAATAAAGTCTACCATGCGAGGCTGGGGTGCCTTCTTTCTTAGTCGTATTCTTGACGAGTCAAAACGAATTTGAGCATCCGAAAGAAGATCAAAAGGAATTGTTGTGTTTAAAGGGCTTCACCAATGCGGCTTTCAGGCCTTCAAAGTGGGAGAGCCTTCTGAAGCAAAATGAGGCAAATGGGACCTCTCTAAATGATTTGGAAAGGATATGTGAGCAAATGTCCCGTGTCTTGGCGAGAACAGCGCAGGTCCTTCGTGATATGTCGAGCGGAAAGGTCGCGTGACGCGTCACGGTCGAGTCACGTGACGCGGTTGGGACGGTCGCCGTCGCCGTCGCCCCCCACCTTAGGCTTGTCACCACTGAGCCCGGAGGTCTCACGTTGGACCTCCCGAGGGCGAAGGGATGGCGAAAGCCGCATCGCCCCCACCAGCGAGAGAACTTGGAGGCTGGTGAAGGAGGGTGTGTCGAGGGGTGGAAGTGGTTGGAAGATGTTGGAAGTGGATGCAAACCCACCAATCTTCACCCCCAAATCGTAACGAAGTGCCCCAGTTTTTGCCATTCACCAGGTTTGGTCACGACCTGCTGGTTACACGTATTGAAGGGAATAGATACCCACAAAGGACCACTGATCAACTACAACACGAAAACAAAAGTCACAGTTGGTGACTCTGCGCAATCCCATCAAGAAAGTCGTCATAAGAGTCATAGTCCAGCGAAGGTTCGCCACGATGCTTTCTGGCATGACCCGCTTCGACTCGCGACAGCCAAACTGCTGAACACATGGAGAATACATGGAGAACTCTCGCGCATTTCATGTGTTTGGGGGAGTCAAAGACTACCAGAGTATAGTCGTTCAGGCCGGGGGGCCTGAGTTCCTGCACTTCCTTCCCGCCCCAGAGACATGTCCCCAAAACCTCCGAAACGTCGGCGTCCCACCGAGCCCCCGACCCGCCACCCGTCGAACGGCCGAGGGAGATGCGAGAGGCGGGCGCGCCGCGCCGCGCCTGCGGAGCAGGATCGGACCCACGGACCTGAGGAATCGCACGGGAGCTGATCAGTGTACTGGAGACGAGGGATTTATAGAGAGAGAGAGAGGGAGAGTCATATATATATATACAGGGGGAGAGTCATGCCTGTGGATGAGGGAGAGAATCATATATCTCCAGATGGTTGTGGAGGATTCACATATATGATTTTCTTGTTCCAAGTTCTGTGAGTTTCCTTGGCTGTGGGTCATGGCACTCAAAAGACCTTGGGCTTTCTCTACATGGTGGGTCCAGGGCTCCAAGTTTTGACCTATCCCCATGTGGATTCGTCTCCAGATGAAGTATGGTGTCATCACATTCAATTCATGTGAGATTCAGAATCCACTTTCATTTGGATTCGTGTAGACCACCAGGAGCTGACTTGGCTGACTTGTGCCATCTCCTCTGGTTCAGTCCAGTAGCTGGTTCTTGTTGCCTGCGCTTTTGGAAGTCTTTTCTTGCTCTGCCGGACAAAACTCCCCAAACTCAACAGCAGGTCCGTCGGGCAACTTTGGCCGACTCTGTCAGTCCAAAATCGGCTGTGTATTGGAATAGGAAGACCCTGACCCGTCCACCCAGCCAAGGGCGAGTGGCCAAGGGGGTCTCCGCCGTCCACGAGCGCTTGACGACCGAGCGGCCACCCGCGTGGTGTCTTCGACCTTCGCCGGAGAGGTCCCCTCACTGCCGCTGGCGGGAGGCGCCTGGCGTCTGAACGATGATCCCATGTACGTATGTATATTTATATAGGGTTTAATGAGGGTAAGGGATCAAAATAAAAAAATAGAATCAAAAAAATATATTCAACGGGGATCAATAAAAAAAATAAACAGGTAATCAAAAAAAAAATATTCTAGCCCACTGAGGATGGTTGGGTTAGTAGTAGTAGCAGTAGCAGTAGCAGTAGCAGCAGCACCAGCGTAGCAGTAGCAGTAGCAGTAGCAGTAGCAGTAGCAGTAGCAGCAGCAGCAGCAGCAGGAGCAGGAGCAGGAGCAGGAGCAGGAGCAGCAGCAGCAGCAGCAGGAGCAGGAGCAGCAGCAGCAGCAGCAGCAGGAGGAGGAGGAGGAGTAAGTAGTAGTAGTAGTAGTAGTAGTAGTAGTAGTAGTAGTAGTAGTAGTAGTAGTGGTAGTAGTGGTAGTAGTGGTAGTAGTGGTAGTAGTGGTAGTAGTAGTAGTAGTAGGGTTGCGAATATATTTCTGGATTTTTTTCGTTTTTTTTTGTATTTTTTTGTTTTTCGTCTTTCGTGGCAGGTGCAATACTTTGTGGACCTTGCAAAGCACATTTCGTGGCAGGTGCAGGACTTTGTGGGCCTTGGAGTGCGGAGTTTGTGGCAGGCGCAGGACTTTTTGTGGGCCTTGAAGTGCAGATTTCGTGGCAGGTGTAGTACTTTGTGGCCCTTGGAGTGCAGATTTTGTGGCAGGCGCAGGACTTTGTGGACCTTGAAGTGCAGATTTCGTGGCAGATGCAGGACTTTGTGGGTGTGCAAGTGTAGAGTTGGTGGCAGGTGCAGGACTTTGTGGGCCTTGGAGTGCAGATTTCGTGGCAGGCGCAAGACTTTGTGGACCTTGAAGTGCAGATTTCGTGGCAGGTGCAGTACTTTGTGGATGTTGAACTGCAGAAAGATAGAAAGATAAATTGATAGATAGATTAGATTAGATTAGATTAGATTAGATTAGATTAGGATAGATAGATAGATAGATAGATAGAGGAGGCATATTTGCTTGGTTAGAAAGTTTTGCACCGGGGAGTTCACCTTAAAATATTGATTTCGTGGCAGGCGCGGGTGTCGGGGATGAAGTGCAGATTTCGTGGCGCGGGGGTTGGGGGGGGGGCGCAGCGCCCCCCCCCAGCAGCACACCAGATCCAAAGGTGAGCAGCTCGTGCTTGCTTGCTTGCTTGCTTGCTTCCTTGCTTCCTTGTTTGGCTTCGTCTCTGCAACGAAAACAACAGGAAAAGCAAATACAAAAAGAGAAAGGAGAACAGCTGCCAAAAGAAAGAAAGAAAGATAGATAGATAGATAAATAGATAGGTATAGACAGATAGATGGATAGGCCAAAAAGCCAAAAGCCACAAAAGCCAAAAGCCACAGAAGCCACGAAAGCCACGAAAGCCAAAGGCCACAAAAGCCAGAAGCCACAGAAGCCAAAAGCCACAAAAGCCAGAAGCCACAGAAGCCAGAAGCCAGAAGCCACGAAAAACAAAAAAATCCAAAAAAGAAACAACAAAAAATCCAAAAATAAATACCCCTCCTAGTAGTAGTAGTAGTAGTAGTAGTAGTAGTAGTAGTAGTGGGGATACCAGGGGACCAACGGAGGACCAGGACCAGTGGACCAGAGGACCAAGGTATCCAAGGACTAGGATACCAGGGGACCAACGGACCACAGGACCAGAGGACCAGGAGACCGGAGGACTAGGGGACCAGTGGACTAAAGGACCAAGGGACCAGGGGACCAAAGGACCAGTGGACCAGAGGACCAAGGGACCACATTACCAGAGGACCCGCAGACCACAAGGCCAGGATAGCAGCAGAAGAGGCCTATCGAGGAATATGTTTTTTTTGATTCGCTTTTTATTTTTATTTTGATCCTGTTTTTATTTTTTTTTTGATGCTCTTTTTTTTTGATACCTATGCCGTTTAATGACGTGTTACCAGACAAATCTACAACCATCTATAGTCGGTCTGCGGGTCGACCTCCAAATCATCGAGTTCGTGAAGCCTCCCAGTCCGTCCGAGCCCCGCCTTCACTTGGATCTGTGGAGCTGCAAGGGTCACCTGTGGCGTGACCGGTTGGAAGGGCGCCGGTCCGAGAAGTACTGCAGATCAGTTAGGAGCTTCGTTGTAGAACGAGACACTTCTGTTGCAAAGAACTGTGCAAAAAAACATGCAGGGCTTTGTCCTTTCAAGTGGCCAAGTGCGAATGTTCATCAAGGTGTGCGCTTTGTCACACACTTGCACGTCGGTAAAATGTCAGAAGATTGCTTTGAATTGGCTCAATTCGCCTAGGATATGACAACCGGTCGCACATTGGAATCTGCTGGCGGCTTCCTAGAAGAGATCTGTCGGGGAGCCCACATCATGCGGCACCTGGAGATGGAGGCCTGTTGGTCAAACCCTCCCTCTGCCCCTCAAAAAAGGATACGGTGGGCCTCGCTCAAAAAAAAGATGCGCTCAGGACCAGCAGGTTTGGGTTGATGTTTAGATAGCTGATGTTTGAGCATATTTGAACCACTGTCATTTTTAGAATTGAATAGTCTATATATATATATATTGGATTCTATTGGTGGGATACTGTTGTGTTCATGCAGCGTTTCAACGCTCCAGCGGCCTCCCAGGACTTCAGCCCAGGCCTCACCCCCAGTGTTCTTCTTCTGCCATTGGTCGTCGTCCTCCCAGCCGTCATCACCTGCTCTCAAAAGAACTGTGTGTCATAGTGACGCGTGGCCATCTACAGACCTCTAATGGGCCTGGTTGTCTGGCAGAACTGGAATCTCCACTCCGCCAGGGACTTGAATCCCTGAATCACCCACCAAGCTCTCACCGAGCGCCACCAATTGGTTCGCACCTGATCCGCCACCGGGAGTGGTCTCCGCATGTTGGGTGCCTGTTCCGCGGCGTTAGCGTTGCACCGTTCCGGTTTGGAGGTGGAGCCACACGCAGAGGGAGACCATCGGTGCTGTCTACCAACGGTTTTGGCTTCGGTCTTTGGCTGGGTCCCATGGGAAGAAGTTTTCGGACCAGTTCCGTGTGCCTGGCAGTCGGACTGGCAGCTCCATGTGGAAAGGTTCTTTAAAGCCATGTTTTCGTGGGCGATCGAGGGTTCGGCTTCGTCCTTGTCACATGACACGTTCTTTCTACACTCTGGAGGTCAACATTGGGAAGGTGCGGAAAAAGGCAAAAAGTTGCCAAAATGGGACATCAATCGAAATCACGAGGTGGAGGTCATCGCTAGTAGCTGGAGACCATCGCCTATACTAGGTTGGAGGCCATGACAACGAGAAGGTCCCCATGACCATCTTCTCGTTGAAGGGTCTGAGAAAGTGAAAATGGATTGGCTCAGGAACCTCTTGAACGGTCAAATTCTCAGGCAATGAAGGAACTCGAAAAAGACATGTTTCTCCCATGCTTTCCACAAAGGAAGCAACTGACCCAATTCCTCCAGTTCTTCCCTTCTTGACTGACCATCCGACCCTCATGGATCTCCGGAAAATCTCGGATCAGCTGGGGACCCCCAGCTTGCAGCCCCCGGGGAGATCTCAAAGCTGCCGCCCACCGCAGCTGAGGCGAAGAGACGAGAGATGGGCGAAGAACGACCCGGCGAAGAATGGGAGAGGTGAAGAGATCATGTTTAAGACTGGGAGAGACGAGAATGAGGGTGTTGTTTTTGCGATTGGAAGTGTTTTCTTCCGATTCTGTTTGAAAAGAGACTTGAATGTCTTTCCTACTGTTGATCAGATACACCGAAAGAAGCTAGGACTCCATTCTAAGGCAATGCCATGCGAAGCTAGGCAGCTAGGTCAACATCTCAGACGCTGGTCCCGAATCAGTTGTCTTTCTCTGGAGGACCAACCCTCCAAGTCTGAGCCAAGGACCAACCCCCCCCAACTCCGCATTCCCGCAGAAAATCAAAGAAAGGGTCCCGCCCAGTCCCCCACAGGAAAGTTGCTGAAGAAGCTACTAGGAGCAAAGGGCACTAGGAGCAAGGACGCTACTAGGGGCTCCTGGCCTTACTACTAGGAGCAAGAAGCTAGCAGAAACAATAAATAGAATGTAAGTTTAGAAAAGAAGTCTTCATATCTTAAAGTCGGCCGATTTCAGGGGCGAAACAAGCGGACCCCCGCGTGGCCTACAGAGGCCATCTGAACGTCCAGCTTGGTGCCTTGAGATGATGGACAGGGGTTGAGGTGCTTCTGCAACCTTGCTCGCCTTGCTCGCCTTGCTCGCCTTGCTTGCTCTCTGAGCAAAGGTGTAAACACACCTTCTTGTAATTTGGTGAACGATCGAAACCAGAAGTCTGTCCCACCTGATAGTCTCTGCTCCACTTCCGTCAGCTGTGCACCTGGAACCAGCCAGAACCAGCTGTTGATAAGACCAACAAGCTGCTTGCACCCACTGGCCGGGTGCATTGGTAGGGTGTAGGCGCCGCTGCGACACATCGGGCACATCAGCCCACATCGGCAGCTAGCACTTGCAAACTATGTAGAGAATTGTAGAAAGGTAGGTTGGAGGCCAACTCTTGCAGGTTGGAGGCCATCGCTTGCAGGTTGGAGGCCAAACCGAGCGCCAAAAACGAACACAAAGGAAAAACACGCTCTGATGCCAACCTGACAATCTCTGGGACGCCATTTC